TTCCTAAATCCCAGGGGCCAAGCAGACCTCCGAAGCCGTGCTGTTTTCCAACCAGGTGGGCTCCGTAGGTCTTGGCGGCGCGCACAAGGGGGTGGGGGGCGGGGGAGGGCTTCTTAGAAGCAGGCTGCGCTTGAAGGCGCCGGCCTACATCTATAGATAAGCCCGCGCCTTCTAAGAAACAGGGGTGCTTTTTGTCTAAGAAGTCCTCCCCCCTCCCCCCTCCCCCCACCCCCCTCTGCGCGTGGCAAGAACCGTCCTCACCACTCATCCTCTTATGAAGGGGCCCCAGGACACACAAATGAGTACACACAAATAAAATGATTCCCCATATTTTCATATATTTTCCTGGTTTTTTGTCTTCCCCCCCCACTCCCCATATTTTCCCATGTTTTCTGGGGAATCGAAGGTTAATTGTGTCTGCGAGTGGCTGAAGGTCTCGGCCCCAGCGCTGGTTCGGGCCCCCCTCGAACCCCCACGGGCGCACCACGCGGCGTGGCCACCTCGCCGTTTGGCCACCCCCGGACTGGGGCGGTCTCTGCTGGGATGGTCCTGGGACCCCAGCGCGGCCCACTCTGTGGGAAAAACACACAGTCTGTGGGAAAACACACACACACACACACACACACACACACACACACACACACGTGTGTGTGTGGGGAAAAACACAAACACACACACACAGTGTGTTTGTTTTTTGTTTCCCACAGTGTGTGTGTGTGTGTGTGTGTTTTCCCACTGTGTGTGTGCGTTTTTGTCCCACAGAGGGGCCGAGACTTGAGAAACCGTTTTGCGCCGTAGCGCGGCAAAGGCGATCCGCACGCGCGCTCTCGGCGGCCAGGAGCGGGAGAACTTCACTGTGCGGCTGCAAGGGGCGAGAGGGAGCCACGGGCGGCTGGGCCGCGGGTCCACAAGCGGCTGAGCTGCGGCGACTGACCGGCCGACTTCTGGCGAGGGGCCGAAAATCGAAAAACACGCCGAACTGTAAAACCACCCACACACGGGGATGGACAGACCCCCCTTTAGCAAAACGTGGTTTAGTGAAAACGACCTGAGGCCCAAACCTGGCGGGCGCAAGCCTGGAGCATGACGACCGTGGCGCCTTCTCGAGCACCGAAAACGGACAATCCCACCAGCCCTCTGGGCGTCGGTGGTTTAGGGCGTTTCCTCTTCCACCCCTCCCTCTTCCCCTTCGGGGAGGGGTTTACCCCTCCCCCTACCCCCTCCCCACAGACCTGGACAGGAGGGGCGGGGAGCGGTCAGAGCGTCCAAAACGGCCTCGGCGAGGAAGCCAAAATCATTGATTTTACTATGGTTTTGGCCCCATTTTGGCCTTCTGAGGGGGCAGCGCTAATTAGAGCTCCCCTCTTCTTTGATCGATTTCCTCCACGATGGCCTCAATAGGCCCCCAGGATGCCCCAAGAGGCCGCAGGATGGCCCCAAGATGGCCCCAAGAGGCCCCCCAAGAGGCCCCCAGGAGGCCCCCAAGAGACCCCCAAGAGGCCCCAAGAGACCCTTTTGGCCCCATTTTGGCCTCCTGAGGGGGCAAAGATGGCCCCAAGAAGCGCCCAGGAGGCCCCCAAAGGCCCCAAGATGGCCCCAAGAGGCCCCAAGAGGCCCCAAGAGGCCCCCAGGAGGCCCCAAAGAGGATCCCGAACGGCCCACAGAGGCCCACCCGAGGCACCCAAGACGCCGAAAAGCCCCTCAGGACGACCCTCTACTCGCCTGGGCGTCGTTTCTGGACGGGCTGGTGGGGATACGCGAAGCGTCTAGAATTCACTAATCGACGTGTCACTGTTGGGGGTTCTGTCCGCCCCCGACACAAACGTAGTCAATCAATCCGTCCAAGGCGTCCGGCAAGGCCACTCGGTGAGTCGGCTCGAGACGCCGCGCCGCGAAGTTCCCACGGTCGTGCGAGGGCCTTGGCAGCTGCGCGGTTGGCAGCGCTGTCTGCTCCCAGAAGCACTTTCGGGCCGAGGTGGTCAACAACGTTTCCTCTTCTTGGGCGCCCAGTTATCCGGGGTAACTCGGGTCCGGGGTAGCTCGGGTTCGGAATCCCGACAAAACCAACCCGAGTTAGCCCTGACCCGAGTTACCCCTGATGATTCGGGGCTCCGGACGCCCGAATTATCCTGGGTAACTCGGGTCCGGGGTAAATCTGGTTCGGAATCCCGAAAAACGAACCCGAGTTAGCCCTGACCCGAGATACCCCTGATGACTCGGGGCTCTGATCTTCCACCCTCCTTCGTCCCCTCTGGGTCTGACGGAGGGGGGCATCGAGCGGTAATAGCGCACGAGATGGCTCAAAGATGACTGGAGACAGCCCAATATTCGGGGATGGACAGAACACCCTGTAGCAGAACGTGGTTTAATGCAAACGGCATCGGGCCCAAACCTGGCGGGCGCAAGCTGTAAAATAACGGCCACGGTGCTCTGTCGAAAGCCGAAAACGGACACGTGTCAGGGTGGGGGCTCTGTCCACCCCCGAAATATGGCCTCCAAGCTGTTACCATGTATCCGACGGTTGCTCCAAATGGCCTCCCATATCCTCCTTCCACATGGTTACAAAACTACCCGGAAACTGCCCCGAGTGGCCACTGAGCCTCCCAAGGATGCCCCCAAGAGGCCTAAGTTCTTCGAACACTTCAAGGAAACCAACCAGCTCGAAGGGCAGCCTTAATCACACCAGCCCGTCAGGATTTGAGTGGTTTTGCGAATTTCCTCATCCAACCCCCATTTTCCCCATCGCGGGAAGGGGTTCATTACTGTTCCCTTTTACACAATCCCCCCCCCAGGTCACTGGCAATCAACAAGGACCAATGAGACCCCCACGCCCCCCCCCCTCATGTTTGTCAAAAACAATGTGATATCCACTTTGGGGTCAGATCGTCACGTTGGGGGGTGCGCGAGCACATCGCATTTTTCCTTACGAGGAACGGTGGGGATGCCCGCACATGTCCTGCCGCGCGCAGGGCCAGCATTATGACAAACACTACAACGTGCACTTCGAGGCCGAACGTTGCGCACATGGCGCGGCCGGAGCATGCGGCACACACGGCGCCCGTGGATCAAGCGGCGCATCTGGCGCACCAGGCGTCCCAGCACGTTTCTGCCACAGGGGTGCCTGGCTGACCTGGCCCGCGTTGCGCACGTCGCCCCCGCGTTGCGTACATGGGAACTGTTTTAGCTCCCATCACCTGTCCATCCTAAGACTACCATTGAACTCGCTGCGGCTCGGCTGCTATTTATGTGTTGGGACGGCGGGCGGGAATGAGCGAGACGGCTTGCGGGCCGGGAAGTGTTTTTGCCTACGACATCCCCCTCGCGGCAGTCGCAGAGCAGCTGGAGGGTGAAAGCAAGGTGGGCCTCGGGAAAAACCCATCAACCTGGCAAGGAAGACATGGTACGGCTCAAAATAAGTCAGTCTGCCTGTGAACATGTTCCCCCGCTTCTCTGCCGCGCCAGCCCCAGGGGTCCCAAAAAGGGAATCTTGCCGAGGGCCCCGCGGGGCCAGGGACGACCCTTCCGAATCACGTCTAATTGCTTCGATTTGCGAACAATGCCACTGCAGCCGCGGGTCGGAACGCCTGGCCTGCCAGCTGTGTAGCTGACGCGCCTGTCGAAACATAAAACTCCTTGCCCTGTCGCCAAATCGCGAGCAACCCTGAGCTGACGATGGGGGGGCGACAGCCTCAGGCGGGGCACGATAAACTGCGAAGCGTGGGCGCGAATGGCCCGCATTCAGACCTCTCCACATTTTTGAGATTCGCAAACGTACGAACACAATGCCTGCGTTGCCACGGGGAGCCAGCCAATGGAGATTATGGGAGAGCCTGGTCTGGGGGGGAGAGCGAGGATCCCCCGAGGCTCCCCCTAGACCCCCTGACAGCTCTCGCGCAAGGGGCCAAACCTCCAAGACAGTAAAAGCAGCATCCGCAACTTCCACAAGCGCATGGTGGCGAGAATGGCCTCAGCATCAACATGAGACCTGTACCTATCGGCAGCCACCTTGGCATAGGCATCCGCCTATATATTCCCCCTGGTCTTCCACGTGGCCTGACCTAGAGAATCGCCCTAACTCAGATGGGCTTCCGCACTGTGGATATTCCAGACGTCCCTGGGCTCGGCCTTGACCCCCTCCGCGAGTGGCCCGACTGGGTCGCCTGGTCGCCCGTCCCTCGGAGGCGGGCGACATCAACAAATCAATCCCCAACCACCTCCTCGGGACTGAACTCAGGGATGTCCGAATGCTCGACAGTGCGCACGAGCCCGCGAGATTCAGCTAGCACTGCGGTCCGTAGGAGGTCGCGCGCAATGGACCCCATCACGCAACCCGCGACATCCCCATTCAAGGGTGATCTCCGCGGACGCCCGACCCTGGCTCCAAAACCAACCTCGGGCTTCGGGGTCCAGGGCCAAGCTGTCAATGCGCGCGCGGGCCCCGTGCTCAAACTGGTCCAAGTGGTCGAAGTATTGCGCGAAATCCTCGATTGCCCACAGTGAATTATACAGCGGATCGCCCTCTCCTGCCCCGAGTGCCTCCTCGACCAAGTGGCTGTCGATCTCTCCGCGCAGCTCCTCGCCGCGGGGGTAACTCCAAATCCCGCGGGATCGTAGCAAAACCTGCAAAAGGAGAAACCCCATAACTTGAGAGACGCGCGCAGACAACAGCGGAATGAACCCGACATAATGTTTTTGTTCCGGAGCCTCCTCCTTTGCTCCGGCGTCATGTACTTCGACAATTTTGAAAACAACAGGTTTGGGCCTGCAGGCCTCGGTCCAGAATGTCTCTGGCCCTTAGTGGCTGGTGCCCTGCAGCTTCTGGGAGGCCGAGTCCTGGAAGTATTTCTCTTGCAAATCCAATCTGCAAATCGTCTGGGTCAAAACCGGCGGCGAGTCCGTTAAATTGACGGGAGCTCGCTCCGCGGACACGTAGAAGGCCTGATTTTTGACGTGCCAGCCCGCCTCTGCATCACACAAGGGCGCGTCCAAAATAAGGCGGGCGCCCCTGCGCCTCCGACCCAAAGACGGCGGCGGCTCGGCAAAAACTGTCAAACACAGGTGGGCAACATCGGCGAGGGAGCCAACGCTGAGACCGCCATTGGTTCGCGACGTGGGACCCGCGGCCTTCCACCATTTTCCTGCATATCGTACATCCGTGTCACCAACATGCGCGTCCTTGTCAAGCTGAAGGGCCCACGCGCCGCCCATGGAGGCACGAGGGGCCCCGTGGGGCTCAGGACAACCGCCTATCTTACATGCGTCATGCTGCGCTTCTGGCCAAAGAAAAAACAAATTAACTGCTGCACACGTTTGCCACGAAGGCTTTTGATTGTGGGCACCCTCCGTCGGACTTTACTTCAACGAGCTTTCCTTTTGGCCAATATCGGGATGTTATTGGTGCCCTCGGGAGCTCCCTTCGAACAGGGATTCTCGTTCGGAAACGAGCTGGCCTTGCGAGCAGCCGAGAGGTCAACACCTAGGCGCGCAACCTCACCTGTCAACGGCTGGGCGTACCTACCAAATACCTCCAGGCCTGGATATGTCAGCTCTTGGGTGTTCGAACTAGAAAATCCCTTCGTCAGAGCTCGAAAAATTGGTGCTCGAACAAGTTGCAACGTTTTTGAACAGGCACCCTGCCAACTTCGCAATGCAATTCAAACACTGAACGGTTGATGGGTGATGCCCGTCTATCTCCACATCATCAGCATGAACAATAAATCTGGCGTTGTCCATACGCGCTGGGGTTGTTTTTGGCCATGTGAGCCATATGCCCATGTATTATCATACGTGGCGGCACTGCTTCCAACAACTATGCCGTGGTCTGGATAAACATGCTCCGTGCACGATGGCGACCCTGGGCCAGCGGTACGGCTGAATGGACCAGAAGGGGGAAACGCAACGGAAACCAACAGGGGCCGAACTCGCGTCATAACCCCAAATGCTTCACGTGCTCGTGGCACTGCTTGAGGCCCGCAAGTCGCATTCATACCCTTTTTCCCCCGTATCATCTGCTAGCGCCGTGCGAACAGTCTGCCTTCAAATACCATCCGTAGTGCTCCTCGCCGGTGCCATGTTGAACACTCCCCCGTCCTCCAGGCAACCCTTTCCACTCCTTGTGATGCTTGGCGGCTATCTTCGAATACAACATGGGGTAGCTGTGAACCAAAACACCCTGCCGACCTTCTTCCTGACATGGGCTTCTGGTAGAGCTGCGCTAGCAGAAGCTGGATGCCAGCTGGTGCCTGACCTCCTGCTGCTTGCAATGAACAAAACAGAAGGCAACGCCTGCAGGCTTTCAGACGACAAAAAAATGTAGTTGCGGAGATGGAAGCCATCAGTAGCAATTGCAGACGTCTTGAAGCCCCTCGAGATACTTCGGAGGCTCCTGCATCTGGGGCTTCAGGGATGATGGTGTAATCCCCTCCCCCTCTCCCCTGCCACTGGACCTGGACGGGTGGGGGGGGGGCGCGGGTCGTTAGAGCGTCCAAGACGGCCTCGGCGAGGAAACCAAAATCATGACTAACGTGCTGGCCACATTGTGGCCTCCAGGGAGGGGGATTCTCATGTACGAAAGCCCTCCTTTGATCGATCTTCCCCAAGGTGGCCCCAAGATGGCCACCCAGGTTCCTAAGAAGGCCCCAGAAAGGGCTACAAGAGGTGTCCAGGAGGCCCCAGGAGGCTCCAAAGTGGCCACCAAGATGCCCCGAAGAGGCTCCCACGAGACCCCCGAGATGCCCCAAGAGGCTTCCCAAAAGCACCCAGACAACACCACGCTCCTGGAACTGCTAAGATAATCCAATAGACCCTAAGAAGACCCCAAGAAACTCTCGGAAGAAATGCGAAGAGACTCCGAGAGGAACGCCAGAGGCTTATGGCCTTTCTGCTCGCACTGTTCCTCCTGCTTTTCCTCATTATCTCATCATTCCTCCTTTCGCCTCCATCGTTCCCATCCCCCCCCTCCCTACTCCTCCTCCTCCTGCTCCTCCCGTTCCTCCTCCATCCTCCCCCATCTTGGGACACGACGATTTACTCAGCCCGTTAATCTACCGCATGCTCCTCAATGTCCCTGTTGACGGCGAATGGGCTGGTGGAGTTGCGCAAAGCCTCCAGAAGACGGATCCCCCTTCTAGTGGTCGACGTCCTCCAATGTTCGGCCCGGGCGAAACGGGGAGATAGCAAAGGGGGGAGTTGAGAATGAGCTCGCGTAGCTGACTTTCCCAGCGCCTCCCAGCGCGCGAGGCGCGCATGTATCGAGGAATGGGCCCCTCGGCGGGGCCGAGACCAGCTGCATGCAGCAAATTTCGTAACACCCCCTTTCCCGATCCCCCCCTTTCGTCCGGCCCGAAATGTGGCCCAGAGAGGGTGCCCATGGCACGCAATAAGGCCCCAGGATACCCCCCAAGAGGGCCCTGGGCCCTCCCCGCAGGGCCCCGATAAATATAGTTCGGCCCCTCGGTTCGCGCGAACATGCGCGGGAGTGTGTGCCGTCAGTGCCTCCCGTCCGCCCTCCTTCCCTCCTCCTCCTCCTCCTCCTCCTCCTCCTCCTCCTCCTCCTCCTCCTCCTCCTCCTTTTCCTTATCCCTCATCCTCCTCTCCCTTCTCCTCCTTTTCCTCCTCTCTCCTTCACCTCCTTCGAAAAAACCGCACAGGCATTCATGGGTCACTCCCCGGCCTGCGAATGCTGATCCCGAGCTTCGGCTCGAGGGGTGTCCCCCCCCCTCCTCCGTGTTCCGCTGTATGCTCCCACTCCTTCCTGGTCCGGGCCACCCGCCTGCGCATCGTTTGTGGATTGACCAGTGGGGGTACTTTTTGGGTCAGCGGTCCCAAGACGAGTGTCAGGAGGCAAAGGCGACGTCCGGGCCACGGGCGAGGCGAATTTGCAAGACAGTGCGCTGCCAGCCAGAGTTGGCGGACAGACTGCTAGCACAGGCACGCGCACTGAACAAAATGACCAGAATTCGAGAGGCCAGCGCACGAAAGCGCAGTAACCCTTACCACAGTGGGCAGGTCGCTGTGCCCGGTGAAAATGAAAAGGCCCCCAAGTGAGTCGCCGATGTGGCGCCAGACTTCAACGGTCGTCCTGCGCAAGCCAGCAGGCTGAGCGGTCGAGAACAGTAAACAGCGCGCGACAGCTGAAAAGGGGCCGAAGGCTGTACAGGCGTTGAAGGCTGTACCACTCAGCACCCAGGCCAGTCTCAGCGATCCGCATCACAATGTCGGGGGAGAGCCGTGCGACTGTAATCCAACCGCGCGCGCGCCTGCACGGTGCAGCCACAGGGTGTGAGGGGGCCCGCTGGCGTGGTGAGCGTCGCCGACGGTGAAAAGAGAAAAGGGGGGGGCTGCACGAGAGGTGGTGGTGCCGACTGCGTAGCCTGAAGCGAGGCGCCAGGGGGAGCTGCACTGCAGTAGGCGCTGACTTCAGACCGCCGCATGGCACTTCCCCAAGGCCATTGCGCCAACACGCACCACGAATCCCTCCTAGGCCGTAGTAACCGCCGCTGAGGGTGATGAGCTGGACCACGAGCAGCGCGGAACGGCAGGCCCAGGGAGGGGGGGCAACCACACCGACGCAACTGAGGCGTCAGGCGGGCCCCGGGTGCCAAGGGCGGGGGGCACCCACTGGGCCTGGGAGGGGAGAGGCGAGGGGACGCAACGCCTCTCCCCTCGGTCTGGCTCCCTGCCGCTGTGGGCCAGGGGCCGTGGTACTCCTCTTGGGTCGTCCTGGGGGTCGCAGCTGATCGCCGCTAGAACTTGCATTGAACACCTCGGGGGTCGCAGCTGATCGCCGCTAGAATCTCTTTTACTCTTATTGGGGGTCCCAGCTGCCGCTGTGGTCTCTATTGAAGGTTGTGTAACCGAGTGAAGGCCCACCAGGGCCGCAACAAACGCAACAGATGCGAGCCTGCAGAAAGGTGCGTCCCTGAAGGTGGGTCCTCGGGGGTCGCAGCTGATCGCCGCTAGAGCCGATGTTGCCAAAACTGTGGCCTGAAACACATGCCGATCCGGTGGGGATACGCGAAGCTTCAAAGGTTTCGATCTAAGCGAGGCCCCCGATCCGCGGAGCGCCCCACAAGCTCGCGAAAGTGGTGACAGTTTCGCAGTCGACAGCAGCTAGCAAGACCCGAGGAAGCGAGGCGGAAGGGGAGGACACGGGAGGGAGGAGGAGGAGGAGCAGCAGTGCTCTGCTCGAAAACGACGATCCAATGCAAGAAACAGTTGCTATACAACGCGACGTCGGGAGCTCGGGGGGGTTGACCTCCAGCTGCTGTGCACTTTCGAGGGCAGGCGTGGCAGCAGGGCCCTTCCAACATGAATGGACTTGCTGTCCCCAGCACTCCTCGACAAGCGAGGAGGAATCTCATTTGACTGGAGGAGAAGCACGCGCATCTGTCTTGCCAAACCTTCGGGTGGGAGGGGCTTGCGAGAGGGGGGGCGGCGGAACAGACAAGGCGCCCATGAATTCTCAAATAACACATAGCCTTGTTCAGCTCGCATGCCTCACCAGGATGGCGGACAAGGGAGGGGAACGACCGCCGTGAGTGTCTAGCAAGGCTTTCGATTAATTTGCACAATGCTAGCAGGCCTTCATGTAACTGGAACGGCGTTGACTGAACGTTGGGAGAATAATGAAAACGCAAAGTCAAACACTACCATGTGCATTGCCAATATTCACAAATGGAAGATCAAGCCTGCTTCAATTCCTGTGCCTTTGCCTTGACGTCTTCAGGGAAATTGTCGACGTATGAGAATACATCACCGACCTGACTCACAATTCACATCCGTCATCCACCCTTCGCAACATTACACCAGAGCGAGAGGGGGCTGCGCGACTGCGCAACAGAACAGGCGCTGGGTTAGCGTTCTTGCATGGCGGCGAAGCGGATCTCCAACATGCAATTGATACTCAACATATTTGCCTAAATACTGCAGAACAGGCAAGCTCTCGCCACTACCTGAATGACAACAGCCCCGTATGATCGCACAACACGTCCTGATCGATCCATCAAATATCAGGGCACTGCTCGAATAGTACCAAGACAGTAAGCATGGTGCTGCCTCACCCCGAGCGGGGCCAACCACAACTAAACTTCCCCATTGCACACCTCCCCACTTTGTCGGTCCCGAAACACAGTTTGCTCTTACTTGATTAAACCATTTGGCTAGGCTTCCCAGGCTTCCGCCTGGTCTTCCTCAATGTCCGCCTCATGGCCGCTGGAATCCAAATAGTCCACGTACTCGGCGGGGCTGCGGCGTGGCCGCCTGTTGCGCTGGTTGGCGTTTCTGGTTTCGGCAAAGAAATACAATTTGCCGCCTTATGGCCGCCGCGTGCGCTGGATGGCGTTTCCGTATTTTCAACCAATTGGCACCCATTGCCGCCTCATGGTCGCCGCTTGCGCTGATTGTCATTCCCGGATGTACATGGCTTGCACCGCGTGTATCTCACCACATAACTTGTATCCTGCGCATTGCAAGACACACATTGTACAACATTGATCTCGCCGCACAGATGCCGCCTCATACGTAGCTGGTACCACTTAGCATGGAACACATCGCTTGTACCACACAACCCATGTATGACTTCCCGTATGTTACAACAAATACGTTGTTCCGCTTACGTTGTGCCCAATAGCCTGCACCATGTGGATGGGGCCACGTGGATTTCATCACACGCGCTGCACCACATTATTTGCGCCCCAAGTTTTGTAAATCGAACTTGCAATGGCCCAATGCTTGCGGTTCACGCTGCTCAATACTTGCTGCACATTAGAGCCACGATTGCTTCCCTGACTCCCCGCCATTCTCGGTCAAGCCTGCGACGAGTACAGAGAACCACGCCGAGCCGCCTGGACGCTGCACCGCGGCTGGTCTGTGTCGGGCCCCTTGCCCCTGCCTGCAGTCATCGCCCCGTCCCTCTCCCAGCCTTCCGGGGAGCGTGAATGTGCATCCACTTTCTGCCTCAACTGGCCCTCCGAGAGAAATCGCGAGGCCAAGAGAGATGCTCACGGTGAAACGCCCTCCGTGGTGGGACCTTGCCCCAACCGTTGCACCTCCTTGCAGCCCCCCCCTCCCCACAAAACGCTGTGGCGACCATGTCCGCGGCAACGACACCTGACAGAGACGCAACCGCACCCCGAACCCGAAAACGCTGGTACCTCTTCGTCGGCGCATCTCTTCCGCGCTCCCGCCGGCAGAACGCCCATCCAGAAGCCGCCCTCGAGCTGTGGCCCCCCTCCGGCGCACCAACCCCCCCCCCCCCGCCGGCTCGACGTTGCCGCCTCGGCTCCACGTTGGGCACGGGTGGGCGCCGCTGGCTCCGTCAGTCCGCCTTAAAGGCACGACACGAGGATGGATGCCCCCTCACGGATGAGGGGGGGGGAGGAGCAATGCAATATGGCTGGCTGCGCGGCAAAAGTGGTGCAACATTTCGTCGACGTACGGTAGGGACCCGAAGAGTGGAGCGAGGCGTGGCGTGAAGCGCCCCGAGCAGGAGGATGCCCCCTCGCGGATGAGCAGGTCGAGGCCCCTCGCGCTCATGGCCCTGCGGCCCCTTGCGTTGGCACGCCGGACCGGTTTCGAAGATACCTCGGGGAGCGCGGCCGCGACCGCGTCGCTCCTCCGACGGGCCAAAGCCGGGGGAGCCGTGTTCCTCCTCGCCCTCACGGTCGCCTCAGGCTCTGCCACACTCGCTCCCTCCGAGTTGTGTGCCGTTGCCCCCCTCCCTCGAGGGCGAGCGACCTTCTTGTAGCGCCCGAGGGCCAGGTCCAGCCTGCCCGCCTTGAAGAGCGAATTCCCGAGGGCCTTGCGCTCGTCGCAGAACTTCAGCTTCTCCTCGTCCGACATGTCCCACGTCTCCTGCGCGCGCACGCCCCCTCCTGCCCCGTCTGCTCTGCTCGCCCGGGACGTGACTGCAGCAGGCACATGCGAGCAGGCACCCTGCTGCTTTGGGAATGTAGGGGCACGTGCTTCGTCGACTCCGAGCTTCGCAGGGTGCCTCAGGGTTCCGCGGCCTCATCGGGAGATAGTAAGTTCTCGCGGGGTGCACTTCCTCATCCCACTGCGTCGCTGTCTAACCTTGGTGCGGAAGGCTGAGGCATGGCGGCCCGCGAGGTCTCTCACGCGACGACAGGGAAGAGGGCATTCACGGGCTGCCTAAAACAAATCTTGGCGAAGGAGAGTGAGGGCAAGGCCCAAATCTGTGCAGATCCACAAACGCACTATTCGAGAGAGACGAGCTACTCTGCAACAGTAGTGAATGTGCCAGGGGGCCATCAAGGTCGAACCCCTTACTCATGAGAGAACTGTGGTGCGACCAGACGAGTGTCAAATTTCAGGGGGGGCATCCACATTCTGACGCAAAGACATGTTGTCGCGTCAGCCCCGCAGACAACAGACAATTGATTGGGTAGCGCAATAACGGATGTCCTTTCCCTTCTCGAACTCCTTCATCTCGAGCTTGAGGACGATCGACTGCAAAAGAACAACAAAAGAACTGGAGACACCAAGTCCTGTCAACAACAGCACCACGTGAGTCGAGCGAGACCGAGGAGCGCATGCTGGATCATCTGGCTCGGCTGCCCCCGGGCTTCTCCCGGAGCGTGAATCGGAAGAGGGGAGGACGGAGGATCCGAATGGCTCTGCCAGGACGGTGGGGACGAGGACGAGGTCGACGAGTGGCATGGGGGATGGAAGGCCAGAGCCGAGGAATTCAGCAGAGGGAGGGAACGAGGGAGGGGGAGGGAGGGAACGAGGGAGGGGGGGAGGGGGGGGGAGAACGAGGGAGGGGGGGGGAGGGAGGGAACGAGGGAGGGACGGGAGGGAACGAGGGAGAGCGTGAGGCCTTGAAAGATGAGCCAACGAATGAAGAGAAACAGTCAGGAGAGCCGGCGGCGGCAGCGGCAGCTGCCGTTTTGAGAGGGCCAAGATCGGGAGGGGCTGGCGGAGATGGAGAAGCAAATAGCCCGATGAGCTAGGGGGCAGAACATGATAAAGAGTTGAGGATGGTACAGGATGGGGATGAGGAATGGAAGGGGAATAGTTTAAGGGAATGACGCACGATCGTGAAAATGCTGCGTAAGAGCAGGGGAATGGGGATGATGCGGAGCACAGGGAGGGGAGGACGAGGAAGTGGAGAATGATGCGGAGGCGGAGCAGGAGGACGACGGCCGACGAGGAGGAGAAGGAAAAAGAAGAAGAATGCAGAGAATATGTGGAGGCAGATGGCGAGCGAATCATGGGAAGGAAATCGGTCTCGCAAGGAGACGGCGGGCCCTGGACATTGCTCCATCATCCTCGGGGCCCGGGCGGGGAGCCTTCGCGGGCCCAGGGACGGTTACGGCTGGCACTTCTGGGGCCCGAGCTCTTGAGAGCCGCTGTTCCTTCGTGGCGGGGGCGGGGGGGGGGACAGGGAGGAGGAGACGCCCCACAGGCCTCCTGGAGCGCCCTGAATTCTTCGGACGGTATGGCGGATGACTCCCGGGAACCTGGTCCCCTTCTCCCTTCTGCTCCTCCAGAAGCCTCCGAAAGTCTCTCAGAGGGAACATGCGGTCCAGTCGAGAACCTTCGAAGACCTCCCCTTCCTTCATCCTCGGCTCATGCTCACCTCATCCTCACCTCGTCATTCCTCCACCTTCTCCCTCTGCCCTCCTCCTTCCTCCTCCTCCTCCTCCTCCTCCTCGCCGTCCTCCTCCTCCTCCTCCTCCCATCCCTGCCTCTGCCCTCCGCACGAATCAACAAATGCGACGCATCCAACAATTGCGACGCGCTCCCTCAACAAATCAACAGTTGCGACGAACCACAGAGCTCTCGAATTGAAAATGGCGCTGAGGTGCACGGCGAAGCCAGTATATAAAAATATAACAAACATTGGAATCCTACTGTCAGCAAGGCCGTGTACACGCAACTACTCGATTCGCATATCGATGAACATGCCGGGCACGGAGGTACTATATCAAATAAATATTGTTTTTGGAGCGATGCATGCTTGCAACTTTGGGAAAGACGCTTTCCACGAAAACTCCGCAATGCAGATCAACAAACAAAGATGTGGAATTGCAGACATTGATTGCTGAGCGAAGGAGCATACGACGGAACCAATTCATTACCACTGTACAAAAAACGAAGACTCGAACTCAACAGATGATCAAGAAACTCATCCTGGAGCGGCTGAATCATAAGAAGGGAAACGCACATAAGCAAGACATTGACATACTTTCGCGGGATATCTGCAAGCTCACCTACAAGTGGCCCAGACAAAGAAGCAGCTCACTGCATCCGTGCGCAACGAATCTGGGGTGGAGCAGCTCGACAAGACCGACATTGCTGAAATATTTGCTGGTTTCTACGAGAACTTGTTCAAGACATGACCTTACTCACAGAGGGTTGTGCTGAATGGAATCAAATGTTGTGGGTTGCGTTAGTAGACTTTGAAAAAGAGTTTGACACAGTCGACCATGCAACACTTTCGAAGATATTGGCTGACTTGGGAATTGGGTTCAATTACATCACTCTGTGCAGAAAGCTGTTTCGAGACCGAAAGGCAGTCGTCGCTGCGGGAACAGATTTAAGGACAGTTGGTATATTACGCGGTGTGAAGCAAGGGGATATAATATCGGCTTTACTTGGTGTTTTGCAATTCTGGAAATATGTGTTCGAAGTCTGAACAAAAAACGGGACAACCTGAACATTCGCAGGATGGGGCAATGCTGCGGCATTGTCGTGGACTTCGTGTCGGACCCTCTGGCGAATAGTATGTTTGTTTGTTGTGTTGTTGTTGTTTTGTTCCTTGGGCGTGGGCGCGTGAGTAGGTTCGCCCCCCAGAAACACGCACAGAAAAGTTACTTAAAACCTGCTTTTCGCCAGTGCTTAGGAGACGCGACTGATACGAATTGCCCTCAAGACGCATCGGGCTAGACTTGCACACGTTGTGTCACAAACCCTACCGCATGGCCCAAACGGCCACTGCAATAAATCCGACACAATATTATGGGATAGCCGGGGAGAGGAAGAGGAGGAAGGAAAGCAGGATGGAAGGAGGAGGGGAAAAGGATAAGCGAATCTACTTGCGGCGGATGCTGCGGATTACCCTGCAGCCTCTACACCGAAGGCGCGTGGTGCTTTACATACATTCCATGATGCCTCGGAACTGGGATCTGTACAACCAGTAATGGTCCACTGCGCCACTCTGGTGCCGAAGGTGGGCTGTGCTTGTGAAACAACGGTACACATGTATAGCTACATATTTGTACGAATCCCTCCAGGCCCTCCCGAAGAGAAAAACGCGGAGAATCCATTCGCAAAAATCTGTGTGTGCGTGCCGGCGGGCTGCCTCCATTAGGACTGGGCAGCGCCAGTAGTGCTCATTCGAACCGGATGCAGATTTTGCCTTGCAGCACAGGCGCGGCGCTTGTTGCTGGAAGCGCCGGGCGCAAGTCCACCCATTGAAAGCAATGTGAAATCAGGCAGAAACCACGGCTCGTGGTACGCTGCCCCTGAGGTGGGGCAAATTGCGAGTTATATGTTCAACAGTAGCACCTACACGCGTTAGTCCTATGAGGTCGTGCCAAGCGCGGCGACGGCCGAGGCGCCGACGGATAACATCTTCAGGCGCGATGGCATGAAGGCTGGCATGCACCTGGAAATATACAGCGGCCTGGCCTCCCTGTGCAATGATGCGCCTGTCTCTCAATGTGCCCCGGGCGGAACTCAACGTGACCACAGACAAGGAAATCAGCCACGAATGCCATCGCCACTGAAAAAGGGCCTCGTTGCATTGGATTGTCTCCTGCAACTTCACGCGGAGCTCCCGCCATCGAGGACGCGTATCCGTCATCGTCCTCGCCGCGGCTGCGAAAAGCAAGGCGCTGATAGAACGGAAGGGGGCCGGGAGTCCGAAGGCGTCAAGGTTGTGCTCGCCATGCTTGGACAACCACTTCCCGGGTCCACGGGCCAGTCTGCGCAGCATGTCACGCTTTGTGGCGAGCAGATCGCTAGTAGGAGCGACCAGCTGCAATACGAAGCTGAGCACGCTGAGTGCCAAGGAATTGTACAACAATGCTGAGGCAGGAAGTCCAAGACAGAGGTCCTAGATGTACTCCACTCTCGCGATATACTTGCCCAGCCCCTCCGACCCTCTTAAATATAAGAGGATCCACCAAAAATTTTGGTGACCCCCTAAATAAATAGGAGGGTTTTTCGATGTGACAAAACCTTCCAAAAATATAAGAGGATTTTGCCGCACATGGAAAACCTTCTTAAAAAATAAGAGGGTTTCTTGTTGGTACTATCCGTAGGACGCGTTATCGGTATAATATAACTCGTTGTTTCACGGTGGCCTCATTATCCCCTCCTCCTCCCTCCCTCCCTCCCTCCTCCTCCTCCTCCTCCCTCCTCCCTCCTCCTCCCCCTCCTCCTCCTCCCTCCTCCCTCCTCACAGAAAAACCACATGGGCCCTTTGAACCTTGTTTGGCCCAAGTGGGCCCACGAGTGCAGCGGCCACGGCCACCAAAAAGCGGTATTCAGAGGATGTTTCACGCGAAGCGTCGATCGATTTTTGTTACGGGCCATCACAACCTGTACTTCTCGATTGCAGAGCGATGCACAAACTTGCAATGCTGGTGGGAATCTCCCACAGAATCTACACAAGTGCCAATGGCGTCCTCATCCAGATAATTCCAGCTGGTTCTAGGATTTCCGTGTGTGAAAAAATCATCTTCCCCTAAATGGACGAATAGATGATGTTTTGGGTACATACGATATGCTTCCCAAAACCTAGTGTGCCTGTCAGTATGCAGGGACAGTTGCCCATACAATTGAACATGCTGTCGCGCAAGGGTGCCCAATTTAGTCCGTATAGTGTCCGATGGGTGCTTGATTTCATCATAGAAATCGTACAGCGCCTCCACACAAAAAAACCTGAGCTGCTCGTATTCGCTGGCAGGTTTGAAGATTTCTTTCAATAGGAAATGAACGACGCCAACCATTAAACGAGCATTCGCGGCCTTCATCCGCAGCTTTGGATATCGGCTTTTGTCTGGCTTCAGCATCCCGAGCGTCAACGTGTTTAAAGGAAACTTGTCATACTTCAGCTGGCGACTCGCATGTTTGATTAGAACCGTGAGCTCCGAAAGGCAATCGGCGGGTCTTGTCATCAGACCACCTAGCTTGATAAAAAGTTCGAGTAACACGTTGGCGACCAAATATAATACGATGCCGAGGTCCCCAACATGCATCAAATCCAGAACAATACTCGACAACTGCAGTCCAGGAATGCTCCAAATCCCAGAAATGTAGCGGCCAGACAAAAGTGCATCTTGAACGAACTGTTGATGCGACAGCATTGTGGATCGCCACTTGGCGTTTGTGCTAGCATCCGTAAACGGGAAAACGCAACTCGGATCTGTGGACTTCTCCGCGCAGCAGCGGAAGCACATCCTTTTCCGTTCACCCTCGCCTTGCCACCCATGCAACCCAA